GTGGTTTTAGGTAAAGATTTTGTTTCTCTTTATGCAAGTGAAGTGACAAGTGAATTTACAGAACACTTCATGAAAAGTGGCCACCGAAGACCATGGACACCTGCAGCCACGTCCAATCAAAGAAGGCTTAGGATGCGTTGCCACCTCTGCGGAATCAGATGGAATGCCTTGCAGCCTGTTATTACGAGTGCTCTGTATAGCCTTAAGACTAGAATACAGCAAGTACTGCCAGTGGCAGAAATGAATGAAACTGGTGCAGTGCTATTGAATGCAAATGTGAGAGGGTTGTGGGGTACCGTCCAAACTAAGTTTTTCACGCGGATTTTAATGAAAGATTAATTTCACGATTTCAAACTTCGCCTAAAACCCGATGAATCGGTTGCTAGTCTTCTGTATTTCGGCTTTTCGAATGCCGCCCTGTACCGCTTTTATATCAAATTTCAGCTCGGTCCACTGAGAGATGTAAAGGATGTATCTAGTTCTTTGAGGTTTTAAAAAAGAAACAGTGAAAAATTAAATTGAAGAGAATAGGCGAACTATGTATGAAGAAATTCACCACATAATGTAGATTAGATAGGCAAATAAAACTAAATTTACGGATTTTATCGCGTTTATTTCACTACTTTTACTTATTTTTAATTTCCGACGTTTCGGGTGCTTTACAGCAGCCATGGTCACGGCCCCCCCGGGATGGCTGCTGAGATGTTTGACGTCCCAATGTCATAGTTAGTCCGGCTACCTTCAGTTTTTGAATATTAATTTTTGGTCCGATTTACGCAAAACGAGCTTATAGTATCATGAAGTCTTGCAGTGGTATGCTTAGATTTGGGTTTAATTTTGTTAATTATAGGATCCCAAGCAGGTGGCAGCACCCATCCATCTTCTCTATTGAAATTTGGATGTTTTTTAATTTCAATAGCCTCGCGTATCATCCTTGGTAGGAATCGGTGTTCTTTTGCGAGAATTTGTGGTTTATCAAAACGAATGTAATGGTGGGGACGATCTTGAACATGTTCGCAGACTGCAGACTTCCCGGAGCGTCGGTGCTTCACGTCAGCTATATGTTCTTTCACGCGGGTTTTTAATGGATCTTTTTGTTTGACCTATGTAAGAGAGACCACATTCACAATCTAACTTGTACACTCCTGTATCTTGTAGAGGGATATTACACTTGACGGATGGTAAAAATTGTCTAATCTTCTTCGGCGGCTTGTAGTATGTTTTAATAGAAGCTCGCTTCAAGATGTAGCCAACCTTGTCTGTGACTCCTCTGACATTGGTAGTACAGCAGGTACACGCTCGACTGTGGCCGGCTTCACTCGGTCACTGTGATGTAGGCGCGGGACCCGAAGCTTGTTGTCTTGCAATACTTGCTTGACGTGCTGAAGTTCGGCGGCCAGATGTTTTCTGTCACAGATCCCTCGTGCTCTCTGAAACAAAGATTTACCCACGGTAGCTAACTGTGAAGGATGATGGTGAGATTCACCATTTAAATATCGGTTGGTATGGGTGTTTCGTCACACTGTGTATAGAAAAAAGATAGTAGCCGGACTAAATATGACATTTGGACGTCAAACATCTCAGTCCCCCCCCGTGGCCATGGTTGCTGTAAAGCACCCGAAACGTCGGGAATTAAAAATAAGTAAAAGTAGTGTAATAAACGCGATAAAATCCGTAAATTTAGTTTTATTCAATGTGTAGTGTTCGCGTAAATTTAAGGAATCATTAGATAGGGAAAAGTTCGCGAGATTTTATACGAATATCTTCCCGCGAGCAGGTAGGCAAGCAGTCATGATAACATAAACATACATACATAAACACTCACGCCTATCACCCAGAGGGGTATGCAGAGATTACGGATTTCCATTTGACGCACCTGACACTGACATGATGACTTGATGTCGGCGACATGATGACTAAATTTGAATCAGGCTCATCTCGGCATGTTTAAGGCATTATCACAGGTGACGAATCTTAGATTTATTAACATTATCCAGAAACGAACCGCCAGTGATGGTTTGGCTGATGGTCGAAAATGAACCAAAAGTGAATCGATTGAAAAGCGCAGGAAAGAGTTTGGTTGCTATTGTTTTCACATTTGGTGTCTGGCATCGATTGTTTGTAATCGGAGTAGGATCAATACTGACCGGTATTTTTATAAATTTGTACCAGATGTGTTTACTGCTGTGTCCGAATACTGGGCTTCGCGAGCCTTTTTTTCCTTTACATAGGAAAATGCCTGCGCATAGCCGCCTCGCGGGGGCAATAACGGGTTATGTTGGACTTGTGTTCCACCTTAGTTGCATATTGGCAAGCCACAGGAACTCTTTTGTACACATCCGCAACCCCACCAGCGCCGGCCGCTCCATAGCGGCTCCTCCTCGGGAAAAGACTGCTCCTGACTATTTCCTTCTCAGGTAAGGCGCACAAGTACACATGAAGTGCCTTCCTCCACGGCCTCCGATTTCACCAGTTCAATGGACGCCCCTGTGTCCGATGCACAAAGGCCATGGGACCAGGAAAATTGAGCATTAGCATTCCTGAACCTAGTGGCGAATCTGGTATATGGCTTCGCCGCCAACCAAGACACGGCTACGGAGGGCTGGTAGAGGGGCGTACCTCTCCCCCCTCAGCCCCACCACCACCACCACATCAAAGGTGCAGCCCCGTCAGAGTCGCGGTGGATAGGGTGATTGGCGCATCGCCATACCAACACTTCTCTTCCTCCGCGCCTCCAACTTCACTGCAGCGGTAGGGTAAGAGGACATCCCTCTCGCCGCAGTCTACCAACACACATCTGAAGTGGGCTGGAATATTCCAGTTGATTACTTACTGGGGTGTTAAAGAGTAAGTTTATTATTTGGAAGCCTCTGGTATAGCGTTTAAGGAAAACCACCATTCGCGCAGCTTTCTTCACAATTTTATTAATATGAGAAACGCAGGTGAGCTTTGTGTTTAACATAATACCTAGATCTCTCATTTCACCTACTTCTGTGAGCATAGTACTTTTAAGACCGTAGAAAGTAGTGCAAGACTTCTTTTTCTTAGTAAACTTGATATAGAATCATTTTTTGGGATTCAAAGTCATATGGTTTGCCTCACACCATTCCTCCATATGGTCAAGATCGTATTGTAGAAATATTGAATCCAAATAATTAGATATGACTCTCGAGAGCTTCAAGTCGTCTGCAAACAAGAAAACGTAGCTTGCCTTTAGCGTACTCGTGACATTATTGATAAAGAGCGATAACAACATTGGTCTCAGATGGGAACCCTGAAGTATAATAGATTCAGCATAGTACGTTTGCGATTCATAACCCCCTACCGCCACCAACTGTGTTCTTTTCTCTAGATATGAAGTGAGCCAAGCAAGTAATGACCCACGAATTTCTGTGGCTTCAAGTTTGTTTAGTAACAGAGCATGGTTTACCTTATCAAAGAGAAATACGTATGAATGACGTCCACTTGGCGTTCTTTGTCAACTTCTTGTGATATGTGCGAAATAAAAAGGTTCGTTTCCGTAGAACGGCCCTTTCGAAAACCGTGGTGAACATCACTTAAATTGACGTATCCTGGAGCGAAAGGGGCTACATGTTCTTTAATCGAATTAAAGTATCTCACAGATAATTACTTAAGATACAAATGGATAGTGGGCATGTTGAAATCACGGTGAAGATCTCTCCCATCGTTTCTTAACCCTTGTTCTTTTTCATTTCCCAATTCCCAATCTTTGGTTTTCCAACGTGAAAATATTCCCTGATCATTTTCATTTTAAGCTTAAACCTACTCTAAAGTCTATATTTAGTCCCTTCAAATATAAATACAGTTACAAGTTAAGGACTTATGATGAAAGGCTCTGCTGCATTTTTTTAAACGTTCCCCACACTAGGATTTTCTTCTATATTTCGGAGGCAGTTTACAAACATAAATGGCATAAGGACAAACATCCAGACCTGGAGAAATTATTTGTAGGCCATAGAAATATTTGTTTCTTGCGGAATTCAAACCCACTGCCCTTGCGTTGCAACTCAATGCTAAACCTAAGCCATAGAGCTATGCTGCATTGTAATATGGTTGCAGTAGCGTGAAATAGGAGAGGACCGGTGATTCATTTCGATATGTCTCTGTAATGAAGCATTTCATTTTATACCTCAGGGATGGCAAAGCATCTGCATTTTAATTGAGGATATGTGAAGGTGTATATAGGATATGGCATCGATTTACTATCAGGTGTACTGTGGGTTTGTTTTTCTCACCTACTTCTAATAAGGTGAGTGCACTCTGCTTTGTGGCCGAAACATGTAGTAAGTGTCACCAATCTAGATCATCTATTGCTATAAATTTTGTTATTTTTTATAAGAAACTAAGAGCAAAAATTTAGAAGACTACAGTTAATAACAAAATAAATTGACAAAATTATGAATAAAACATCACACGAGCAAAATTTTATGCGACATTCGATGGGCGAGGACGCGTTGCGACATCGCGTATCTCTGATATATATATTGGCGCGAAAGACTGACCGTGCATAACTAGATATCACTCTCTAGTACATCTAATCGTCTAACACAACCATGAGAGCCTTTGTGAGTATTCTCGTTTTTTTGGAATTACAGAAAATGTAATAAATTTAGTATACATAGCAATTAGCAACAGTTCAGTTGATAGAGTTCAAGCTTTAGATCAATTGAATTGTACCTATATATATAGAAAGTGAATAATATTTTAATAAATCGTCTTCATTGCTTTCATAACAATTAATCATGAAATTTGGCGTGTTGCTACCCCAAAGAGGTAAGATAGAATGTTTAGTTACCAGTAAAACGATTTCCAGCTTTCTAAACGCACTACGAGAAACAAAGTACCATTAAGCTGCTATTTTACGCTGGTATTCTGTAAGAGTGGTACTTCCCCGATTAGGCAGACTCATTTGTGCTGCAACGTAACACTGCCAAGTTAGATACAGTAGGAGCTATAACTTTAACATTTTTATTAATTAAATGTTTGTGTGGATACAGATCGCGGTGCTGTGCCTGGTGGCTTGTGCGGCGGGCGGAAGCGTGCGCGAGAAGCGCGGCTTCCTCGGCGGGCTGCACTCCGTGGGCGACGGCTACTCCGGCTACGGCGGTGTCTCTGCCTTAGGCGGCATCTCTGACATAGGCGGCTACGCCGCGCCCGCGGCTCAAGTGGTCTCCGTCAACAAGGTCGTCAACGTGCCCAGAGTTGTGAGCGTCCCACAAGTAGTCAGAGTAAACAAGGTCGTCTCTGTGCCCCAAGTTGTGTCCGTTAACAAAGTAGTATCCGTCCCCAGCTACTCTGTCGGTTACAACGGTGGATACGGCGGTGGCTACGGTGGTGGATTAGGCGGCGGTTTAGGAAGTGGGCACGGCTACTCCGCCGGTGGTTACTCCAGTGGCTGGTGGTGATCGTCGTAAACGATTGTTGTCTAGTCAATTGTACAAAGTGATGTTTTTGAAAATGTTAATGTTGATTGTAAAGTAAAATATAATATATTTTTATTTACTTTTGAATTATTATTTGACACAAGAAATTTGTGATTTTCCAGTAAATTAATACCGCTTAGAGAGATTTAGTAGTATTATAGTGGAAAAGCTTCCATTTTTTCGCTATAAAAACAATAATGTCTTTTTAATGTTGGAGATCATTATTTAAAATTATGTGTTCAATTTCATAAATTTGTATTTGATAGGATATTATCAGGAGATATTGTAAAATATTTGTAAACTATTAATATTAAAAAATCAACAGATCTATGGGGGATATGCTGTAAAGTTATTGCGTCTAATAAGATGGAATCGCACCCCAATTTGCTATTATTTTTAAAATTAGTATCGAATCTGGTGTATTTCCTGATTTAATGAAGCATAGTAAATTCATACCTTTATTTAAATCTAGTAGTACATTGGAAGCTTCTGCAAGAATATATTTTTGTACTGCCAAGGCTCAGTAAAATTATTGACAAAAATATTCTAGATCAAACGTTAAGTTTTTACATGTAAAGCAGTAATGAGCAATTTGCTCCACAAAAATCAATTTAGTTTTATAAGGGGTCGCTCAACAACTGACGCTAGTGTTGAGATTTTTAAACTTATTTTGGAATCATGGAAGAATTCAAAAGATGCTTTGTGTATATTTTGTCATTGCAGTACTTGCGACCGTGTTCACTATGAGACATTAATCAGAAAGCTACATCATTATGGCGTAAAACAGAGCTCTTGAACTTATTACATCATATTTAAATAAATGAACGCAAACAATAACAATGGATGAGATTCGTATCTGTGGGCTCAGTTTTAGGCCACTTCCATTCTTAGTTTATAATAATGATTTACCTTACTTGGTATTACCATGATATGCTTTTATTTGCTGATGATACTTCGTTGTTCAAGCAAGTCAAAGCCGAGGTACATCACCTGGCCTTATCTGATCACGAAACGGGACAAACACTTGCGCTCAAAACGACCAAATCGTATGAAATATGCAGTTGGTATGAGGATGTTAGAGATTATAGTAAAGAAAACATGGATAAGTTCTGTAGCTGCATATCGTCTCTTACTTTCTCAACTGTATACGAAAATATAACTTACAAGAGGCGTTTGTTGAATTTCATGATTTATTTAAACTTTTTTTTGATCTTTGCTTCCCAATACACACAATAAAAAAGGGCAACTAAAAAAGGGAACCATAAATGGTTGACAAAGGGCATTAGAAAATCATGTATAAGGAAAAGATATCTATACCTTAGTCAACAATATGATAAAACAAAGGGAAAAATACTCAATAAAAAATATAAATCATATAGTTCCATACTTAAAAAGTGCATATATAAATCGAGACAGATACAAAGTAAGAAATATATCGACAATAATAAAAATAAATGTAAAGCCACATGGGCGGTAATTAATGAAAATATTGACGACCAAAATACGAAAACACAAATTGACAGAATAATAAAAAATAATCGGATATATGACGACCCAAAGAAAATAAGTGACATATTTAATCACTTTTATATAAACTTGATAAATAACAATAATTTTAAATATAATGTTGAGGAAATAAACAAAACTATCACGACTAATAATACCCATACAATATTTCTTAAACCTACGGATGCTATGGAAATATTTCGGATAATTAAAAGTCTTAATAATACGAACGCAGTAGGATTTGATAACATAACAACCACTGTAATTAAATTATCTGCACGATACATATGTCAACCGCTACGTTATTTAATTAATATGTCTTTTGAAGAAGGTACCTTCCCAAGTATATTGAAAAAATCAATCGTTAAGCCACTTTTTAAGAAAGGCGAAAAATACGAAATGAATAATTGTAGGCCAGTCACGCGGATACCCATATTGTCAAAAATATTCGAGAAGATTATGCTGAGAAGGCTTCAAGAATTCACGACAAGTCATCGTTTACTGAAAGAGGAGCAATTTGGATTAAAACAGAATAGTACAACCTCGTTAGCATGTTTTAATTTGATTAAAATTATCACCCAAGCCATAAATGATGGCCTTCCAGTTGCGGCAATCTTCCTGGACATGAGCGAGGCGTTCGATTTCGTGGACCATAAATTGCTCTTACACAAATTAGAAAAATATGGGATAAGAGGTAAAGCTAACGACTGGTTGAGAAACTATTTATGTGAGAGACAACAATGTGTGGAAATATCTAAAGTCAATAAAGACAAAAAAGTGTTTTACAGAAGCGAAAATCAGATAAATGACTTTGGCGTGCCACAAGGCAGTGTATTGGGACAATTCTTATTCCTCATGTATATTAATGATCTCCCTAATATCACTCGCCATAACACAATCTTGTTTGCTGATGACACAACCCTTATCGTGAAATGCGAAAATGCAGATACATATGAAACAGAGATAAATAAAGCAATCAAAAATATAATAAACTGGCTTTATTGTAATAATTTACAGATTAATATGGAAAAAACTAAAATGATCCAATTTCAGACATACCAGAAAAAACTATTGAATATTAATGTTAAAAATAATGATAAGATCATCGAAGAAGTAGCAAGTACCAAATTTCTGGGTATAATGTTGGATCAAAATTGCGACTGGAAAACACATGTCGATTACGTTTGTGACAAACTCGACAGATTTGTCTACGCAATAAAGAGATTACGAGTCACGGTATCAACTGATGCTGCTCTATGTGCATATCACGGATATGTTTCGTCAGTACTATCATATGGTCTTTTATTGGGGGCAATTCAGTAGATATAATAAAAGTATTTAGAGTACAAAAAAATGTGTGCGTGCAATCTATGGAGCAGGGTATACGGATAGCTGTAAGCCCTTGTTTAAAAAGTACAATATCTTAACATTAACATGCTACAAGCATGTTAATGTTAAGATATTGTACTTTTAAAGAAATATGCATATTTGTAAAACAGCATCCTGAACTCTTTGAAAGGCAAATAGATGTAACTGAACGAAATGTAGCTCCTAGAAATAAACATAAATTATACTTACCTCAATGCAAGCTCAAATTGTATGAAAGGAACTCTTACGTAAATGCTATAAAAGTGTATAACAAAATACCCAACGACTTTAAAGAGTTACCTTTAACCACGTTTAAAAAAAAGTTAATACAATGGTTAAAAGAAAAATGTTTTTACGATCTAAACGAATTTATGTCTTTTAGTGGAAAATAAATCCGAAGTCAGTAATATTGATATATATCTAATAATTTATTAATTACAAACAAAATGAAAGTATGGACATTAACACTTAACAACAACCATTAAACAATGTGACATTTTAATTGAATTCCCACTTGTAAATTTATTTTTTTTGCATGTATACTAATTAAATATTTGCACACCATATAAAATGGTAGAATGTAAATGGGCCATTATGCATAATTTAAGATCATACTATATTGTACACATACATTCTGGCAAATAAATGAATTTGAATTTGATTTTGAATTTGAATTTCTTTTTCGAACTTAAACGGCAATCATTTAAATATGACGAAATGAATAACGCTATATCACCCTGGTTTTACGTCAACAATTACCTTTGAAATGGTTGCTTTATTTATTTCCATAGCACAATATCTGCAAATCAAATCTTGATAAAATTTATATGGGACCGCATGTAAAGCCCTACAGTTCAAATAAAAAAAGAGTCATTCGGTTCACACATAAACAAAAATACAGTAGAATTGGGAACATCCTTCTTTATTTGAATGTGGTTGAAAATTATGTTATACTTTAGATTCCTGTATATATATTTATTATTCTGGGGGATTAACACATTTGGCGTCAATTTTGTAAGGGTTAATCTTATATCTTCTCGGCTAAGGATGTCCAGTCTGTTTCTTTTTTTCGTTAGGAGATTGGTAACAGCGCCGAACCCCTTTCCACTAGGTATGACGATGGAAAGGAAATTAAAAATTTCCTCGCTATATTCCATAATACGGGATAAGTAACGGGTATGTTGTTTTGCAGCCAGAACTGCTGATATCCGTTTTTAAACTGAACCTTAAGTCCTTCGTTTGTACTTAGTTCAGTCAGTTCCTCTTGTATTATGACATTCGTTTCTTCTATGTCACCATATGGATTAATTATCCAACATAGTCAAAATATCCTCAAACCTAGATTCAAAATCTGAATAGGGGGCATTTAAATATTGAACGTAAGTTGAAACGTTGTCTACCTGGCAGCTTGTCTGTGACAAATTGGGGAACAGAAAATTCACCCCATCCAATATTTTGCTTCATTAGTTTAACTCTGGCAAGAAACGCTGATAAGATGGACTTTGTTTTAATCAAATTTAAACTGTCGCCTTGTAATTGCAAATTAACAATATTAAATTTTGTAAACAAATCTGTTAAATAGGCGATGTCTGTTTTAATCTTCATTAAATTTTCTTTTAAAATTCTATCTTTAGTATCCAGAAATTCTAAAATAGTCTCAAAAAGCCTTTCGACAGCCAGCGTACTTCAGTGTGAAGGAGTAATTGATGAAAGTGTTCGTCATTTTCTTCACACAACTACGCAAATAACCGCATATTCAACGCGTTGCTTCGGATTCGGTTTACTGTATCAATGACTAAATGAAGTGATTCATGCAATCTAACACTCAAATTTTTAGCAACTAAATGTTGTCGATGGATGACGCAATGTATTGCTAACACCCCTGACACATTTTGTTTTAAATAGTATATAAATCCACGATAACATCCAACCATGTCAGGTACTCCATCTGTAGCTACTGATATTATATTTGATAAAGGAATTGCTTTTTCAATGAAGTAATCCTTCAAAACATGAAATATTGATTCACCTTTAGTGTCGGTTATCAATGTTCTTGCGAAGAGCAGTTCTTCGTAGATTTCTTAATTCATAATAAAACGAACATATGC